AGATTGTGGATGGAATGAGGGTCAGGAAACTATTCAAGGGTGGTGAGATTTTGAATGGAATTTGAGGACAAACACATTTTTTCCTGGAGGGGAATATTTGAGAAAAATTTATAGTGAGCAGGACATGACTTCTTAAAATAAATGAGTCAATATTTTGTGAACAATTTACAGTGAAAGTTTTGAGGCTCTGAGATGTAATTTTTAGATCACTTCACTTTGTCCGGTTGTGTATAGAGGACAAGAGAAAGGCCCATTTGACAGCTTTAGAATTTTCCACAGGAAGATTAGATGATAGAAAACCACACACACTCTGCAAATCTTAACTAAAGCTTTATGTAAATCTTAGGGGATCCTGGTTGTCAGAGAAGACATCTTGCTTTGTGTCTATGGTTTAGAAATAGACAGGGATAGATGGTTGGGACTAGGGAAATAAAAACAAGTGGTCTACTATAAAATTAGAGCGAGTTATAGCTTTCTTATATAGCAGAGACTGTAAAATTAGATTAGGATATGTCTAATGAAATAGAGGCAGAACCAGGAGGAATTAATTTGCCTAAGGACTTTTGGTCCTACAGAGAAGAGATGGTATTTGTTTGGGACATTTGGGGGAAAACCGGAGATGGGAGGATAGCTTAAGGTGTGTATCTTAGATTCTTTTCCTTGTTGGGTCCCATTGAGCCATTCTTGAGCATTTTGGAGATTTGGGGTGATAGGTAGAAACCAAATAAGCTATAGGTTTGAAAGACTCAGACACATAGAGAGGACAATGAAAACAAATTTGATTCTCTATTGAGCTGGGGAGATATCAACTTCCCCTACTTCATGGGGAAAGGTAGCAAAACTTTGCTGCCTTGAGGACTGAAGAGAGAGCACTCAGCCTTGGCACCTGGTGAGGGCAGCTTTGGAAGCCCTAGCATCCCTGGAATAAATATAGAGCTTCTCATGGAGGACAGTGTTTGCAGTGAGAAGGAGAGAGGTTTTGTGAGCTTCAGAAAAGTGAAAGACAGTAAAAGTCCAAGAGGGGACTAAACTCCTATGAGTACCACTAGGACCCTCAGAAATAACTGAGTGTATCTGGGGTTAGGGAAAGGGTCACGAAGGGCTCTCAGTTAATGTGATTCAATTCTCTTTCCCAGATTGATGAGGTCTGGGAAAGGTCAGATGTTTCAGAAAAATCAATAGAGAACAAGCACTCCCAGGCTTTATTTTGAGCAGGTGCATAAGCACATACTGAGACTTGATAATCAAGTCATCAGAACAAAGAAGTAGATCAAATTGTATGGGGTTTTGGGATATCAGGGGACTCAAGAAAGAGCATCTAGATGTGACCAGAACAGACACTAGTTCATTATCTTTCAGGGATTAAGGGTTCTCTTATTCTTCAGTGAGGTGAAACAGAAGAGGCAAATCATTACACATGGTCTAACCTGAAAGGCCAGTAGTTATAACCGATAAACATTGTTCTCATTACAGAATGAAAGTTGTCACTCTCAACGGATCCACCTGCTATTTTTCTGAAGATTTTTGATGAAGGTCTTTCAGGTATTCTTGTATTGAGAGAACTTGACAGAATGGATTCAGATATTTAGGTTAAAATAATGGTGTCCAGAGAGAATAAAACCAGGTAATAAACACCATGTATAGAACTTTGTCACTATGAGGCTTATTTCTCTCTGGGTATGCCACTGTTAGTTTGAATGACTGCTTATTTTTTCATCCATCACATGTATGTAGTATAAATCATCAAGCCATTCAGTCATGTAGGGAATATAAATCTTATTCAATAAACTCAGGTGAGTAAGAAATGCCACATCTCTGTTTGCTTTAAATAAGGTTAAATAAGTCTCTGGGGGCTTCCCTGGTGGTGCAGTGGTTAAGAATCCACCTGACAATGCAGGGGACATGGGTTCAAGCCCTGGGCCAGGAAAATCCCACATGCCGCGGAGCAACTAAGCCCGTGCGCCACAACTACTTAGCCTGCGCTCTAAAGCCTGTGAGCCACAACTACTGAAGCCCATGCACCTAGAGCCCGTGCTCTGCAACAAGAGAAGCTACCGCAATGAGAAGCCTGTGCACCATAACGAAGAGTAGCCCCCACGTGCAGCAACAAAGACCCAATCAGCCAAAAAAACAAACAAACAAACAAAAGTCTCTGGGCTTATGTCCCATAGAGTTATTGAACACTCTAACTTAGTCATTATTGGGGCTCCCTTTCCAATGACCCAAGGTCAGCTAAAGGTTCCAAGAGTCTAACATTAACACTCAAATATCAGGAAGGCCCACTGAGTACTGCAGAGATGCCTAATGTTCAAGCTTGCCTGGATCCTTGACGTCTGCAGCTCTGCTACTTCTGCCAAGTAGATCACGGGCACCTTGGTCTAGGTTGGGAGTCCTAAGGATCTAGATGTACACTTTGCATCCATCCTCTCAAAGACTCTGCTCCCTCCCCAGAGGGCTGGCAGATAGTGGAGCCAGGATCCCTGATACACACAAGACCTGCCAGTTTCTACCCTTCTCCTAGCCTGACGTTCTCTTCATTCTCCTTGGATGCCTCCATGTGTCTACCTCTCTCAGATCTCAGTACAAGCTCTGCAACAGCTCAGGGTTTTGCTGAACACATGTTCAATAGGAGACTATCTCCAGCAGTGTTGGTTGGTTGCTTGCCCTTATGAACCTTCCCCTGACATGAGGAAGCTTTATGCTACTTACTTAGAATAGGATATATTCAGCAAACAGCAATAGCAAATTGCTACCTCAGAAGTTATCCCTGCATTATTTATTCAATAGTGATCTACCCCTAACTATGTGACAGACTCTGGACTAGGCACTGAGAACATAATAGTGCTCATGACAGAGCCTTATCACCATCTTCAAGGATGTTGTCATAGTGGACAACATGAACAAGTCAACAGCCAAAACAACACAGCTGATAAATTTGGGAGAGTCACGTTATTGAGTTGGGAGGTGCAGAAATCATTCTTCGAGGATGTTTCATTTAAGTTGAAAATGGAAAAAGAGCGAGCATTAGCTGGTCAAATGAGGTTGTGAGTCAGAACGAACAACATGTGCAAACATCCGGGTTAAGAGAGACACCGGTGGACTTCCCTGATGGCATAGTGGTTAAGAATCCACCTGCCAATGCAGGGGACAAGGGTTTGATTCCTGGCCCGGGAAGATCCCACATGCCATAGAGTAGCTAAGCCTGTGCTCCACAACTACAGAGCCTGTGCTCTAGAGCCCGCGAACCACAACTACTGAGCCCATGTGCCACAACTACTGAAGCCTGCGGGCCTAGAGCCCTTGCTCCACAAGAAGAGAATCCACCACAATGAGAAATGTGCGCACTGCAAAGAAGAGTAGACCCCACTCACTGCAACCAGAAGAAGCCCGTGTGCAGCAACGAAGACCCAATGCAGCCCAAATAAATAAATAAATAAATGTTCCTTTAAAAAAAAAGAGAGAGATACCAGCATGTTTTAAGAACTGAAAGACCAACTGGCCTTGGATGCTGGGGTTCAAGGTGGGTTGTGGAGAGAAATGGAGCTAGAGGATTAAAGAGAGCTCTGATTGGTGAGGAGCTTGTAATGCATGCTAAGCTTCTTAGAGTTAAGGGGGTTGGCTCACTTAACACCCACCCCAAGCTCAGTTTTTCTTGCCTTATTTTTCTATTATGACTGGAAAATTAAAATACAGGGAGCTAATAATATGTTTTAATTGTGAGAGTTGATGTTTTTGTTTTAGAATGATTGTTCCAGCTCCTTTGTGAAGACTGCTTTGGAGGGGGATGAGAATAGCTGTGAGGACAATAAGAGGGTTGTTGGAAATCCAGGTGGGAGGTGATGGCAGCTGGTGTAGGTCTAAGGCAGTCATGTTGGAGAGACCCAGGTAGATCTGAGTAGTGCTTAAGGGGGAATGTTAACTGGAAGTTAGAAACACAAAGCAATTGAGAGGTTTCTGGCTTGAATCAGTGAGCAGAATGAATATTTGATCTATTTCTAAGTGTTTAACTCTCTAAATAATACTGGTGTAAGAAAAACTTTTTCATATTTTGAATAATTTCCTTAAGCTGGTAGAAAGAATGAATTTTCCCCAAGTTTTCAAGCATGACTATAGAGATTTGAAGCTGCAGGGATGCCTGAGATCTCTAATAAATTGCTTGTCATTTTCCCAACTTGGGAATGATTCTGTTCCCTTTGCCCCAGAACAAAGCCTTCAGAGGTAGTTTTGGAAAATGTTTCACACATTAGCTAATATCTGGAGTTGAGGTTGTCTAAGACATCTAGGTCCTAAGAACTCAGCCACTAACATCCTCATCATCCAGAACAACAACAGGAAGAGTGAAGCTGGCAAATCTCTCAGTTTCCCTGATCTCATCAGCCCCCTGGGCCACTGCCCAGCAGTCTGTTTGCAGCCCCAGCCTATGCCTGAGCTCTGGTCTACTGGGCTGTGACTTTGAAAAGCTTTGTGTGGCCTCAGGAGAGGGTGAATGGAGCTGAGAATACACAGAATTGTGGAGAAGTGGCAGAGTAAATCTCTAGTTTCCAATATTTTCCTTGATAAATATAATAATATATATATAATACAATTCAACTTTTTTTGATAATTCAATTTCTCATTTCTTCCTTTTTTTTTTTTTTTTCTTATAGAACAAGTTATCTTAGTTTCCCACTAAAAGCAAAAAAAAAGCATAAAATACTGATCTGAGTTCAGCTTACAAAATGTAGGAATTCAAGGACAGAAAGGAAATGTAAATATAGGAAAGGAACTGTATTAGTCAGAATTCTCTATAGAAACAGAACCAGTAGGAGAGGGAGAGAGAAGGCGGGGGTGGAGAGAGAGAGAGAAATCCTATGTGACCAGATAAGCACAGATAAAGAAACCAATGGTCTTCATCAGTTAATCCAGGTCTACACTGCCTGCCTGGGGCAAGCTAATAAGACTTTTTGTGATGCCTGGGCCCAAGCTAATAAGACTCCCTCATAAGGGAAAGACTGATGTCTATGGCACTCATTGAGGGGGGTGGCAGCCCTCTTCTGGGTCTCCAGGCCATTCTTGCTTTGCTGCACATCTGGGAGTTGAGAGTAGCTTCGGGAATTGTTGAGCTCTGGGTGGATGAGAAGCCCATGCTGACGAGTCTGGAGAAGGGGCACTTTATGGGGACAGAGGCAAGCATCATTCTGGGGCAGAAGCAGATATCTTTTTTGGGGGAAGTGGTCTTTGATAAGAACCAGTCCTTGGTGGGAGACACTGGAGATGTGAACATGTGGGAATTTGTGATGTCACCAGAAGAGATTAACAATGTCTATCATTGTTAAGGTCCACCACTGAAGGTGGACCATCAGTCCTGATGTCCTGGGTTGGGGGGGGCGCGCCAATGTATGGGGTTCACGGTGGAGTGTTCACCAAGCCCCAGCTGCCATCCTGGGGCTGTGACCCTGTCCTACAGCAGCAGTCCTGAGCATGCCCACTGGAGATGACACCTCACCAGCATCGTGTCTCAGACTCTGAGGAATTTTTGCCTTTATACCCTGGAGTGCTGCAGAGTGGACACTGGACTTCTTCCCCTCTCTGCTCTTCATTAACATCAATGAATGAACATTTCTTCTTAAGTGAAAGGCAATCTACATGTTGTGCTTTTCTCAGAAGGAATCAAAATTATGGAATTTATGTTTTACATTGAAAAGGACTTTAGACATAATCCCGCATCCTTATTGTATTGGTTTTCTATCACTGCTGTAACAAATTATCACAAATCTATTGGCTTAACACAGCACCAAAACAAATTTAATATCTTACAGCTCTGGAGGTCAGAAGTCTAAAATGGGTGTGTCCACAGGGCTGTGTTCTTTCTAGAGATTCTAGGGGTGAATTGATTTCCTTGCCTTTTCTAGCACCTAGAGGCTGCCTACATTCCTTGGCTTGTGGCTCCTTCTTCCATCTCCAAAGGCAATGGCATAGCATTTCCCTTCTCTCTGACCTCCTGCCTTCCTCTTAGAAGGACGCTTGTCATTATATTGAGCCCACCTGGATACCAGCATAATCTATCCATCTCAACATCCTTATCTGTAAAGGTAACATATTCACAGGTTTCAGGGATTAGGACATACATAGACAGGCTATTCAGCCTATCACATTCATTTACAGGAGATACAACGGAGATCCTAAAGAAGAGGAATGAAAAAAAAAAACCTCACAGGGCTTGTCTGGACTGCTGCTAGTCCATGTGGTATTTCTGTGTGAATGGGGGATTAACTCTATGCTGGGTGAACGGCTTGGTGAGTGAAGTATGGGGAGATAACAGCCCCCACTCCCTCCCTCAGCTAGACACCCATGTGTAGTGAACAGCCTGCACACCATACACAGTGGCCCTGGGGCTGGTGAGTTTCTATAGTGGAAACAGAATGCTGGTCTTAAAATATCCTACTCCAATTCCGCCCTGCTCTTCACCCTTTCATAGCTGTCACTCTCTGAGTCCAGGGTTGATCTCAAAAAAACTGGCTTAGGGAATTTAGTACTGTAGATGTACTGTATTCCTACAGTGGTCAGTCCATACTGTCTTTCAACCCTGCCTCTGAGTGAGACAGGCTGGGACCTGGGACGTGGGACCCTTTGCTGCAGTGCTTGTACCTGGACAAACATCTCCTCGAGCAACAAAATACAAAGAAACTATAAGGGACTAGAAATAACTGCGTGCATGTGCAGTCAGGGCAAATTATGAACAACAAGATACAAAAATGCAACTGCCACTTCTGAGGAGCCAGGAGCAAAAGCAGGGTACTGTGCATGCACATAGCCCCCTGCACACAGCACCTCCAAGGGGGTGGGCACACGTCCTAAGCCACGCCTCTGGCCCAACCCCTAGACCCACCCCTACCCTCACCCCGAATAAGGAACTAGCTCACCCCCTACTCAGGGAGCAAGCTAGGAAACCTGGTACTTGTTTTCGCTCCCTTGTGCTACAGCACAAGTCCCAATAAAGCCTTGCCGGAATTCCCTGTCTGTCCTCTGATAAATTTCTATTGATTAAGCAGGCCAAGAGCCCTGGTTGGTAACATGAGTACTGTCCATTCAGCTTATATATGCCAGATTTATTATTTATCAATAATATTTCAATAATCCTCTTCCTGTTCCATCTCACAGTGTCCATAAACACGTACATCCAAGTTAGTGCTCCTATCTTTCATATGTGGACTGCTTGCATCTTGCTTTATAGCACTGAGTGTTTTAACCTCATCTAAAAAGGCAAGCCATTTTGGCTCCGAGTTTATTTAAATCCTCTGTGGTGATGTTACCTTTCTATACCATTATTACAAAGGGGCTTTAATCAGCCTTGACTGAAATGAGAATTCCCCTAAACCAGCACTTTCCAGTAGAACTTTCTGTAATGATGGGAATATTCTAATTTGTGCTGTCCAATATGGTAGCGACTAGACATATGTAGTTACTGAGTCCCTGAAATGTGGCTAGTGTGACTGAGGAATTGCGTTCTACATTTTATTTAATTTTAACTGATTTAAATTTAAATAGCCACATGTGGCTTGTGGCTACTGTATTGGACAACACTGATCTAGACTCTTTCCTTGAGTTAAAGGGATAAAAGTGTAGGGTGTAGGAAAGGATATTATTAATCATAAAAGTTTATAATTAGGACAACAAAGGAAGTTGAGGTCCCCACTTGAATAAAAAGAGAAGAAGACCTGGGAAGGTTTAAAGATTGTCTTCCATCAAGCCAGGGACCTAATTTTCTCTTGTTTCTACCAAGAGAAGTGTCTTGGTGTTTAGTGTTTAGAAGTGTCTGTTTATGTTTTTATTCCTTCTTTTGTGTTCAATATTTTTCTTAGAACTTATTTTTTCCTTTATCTTTTTCTCTTTCTTCTGAATAGAGGTGAGTTTATCCATACTTGCTATTTAGTTAAAAGAAAAAAAGTAAGCCCAGAACATCTTTTACCTTTTTTTCAGAACATCTTTTGATTCTGTTCCTGTGCATCAAGAGAAAGGCTTCAGTAGTCTTCTTTCTCTTGGGATGTTGAGTTCAGTGGACTAAAGGCACTTCAGGAGCACCAGCTTATAGTGGCATTTTATGTATTGTCAGTTCAAAATTGTGCCCAGGATGGTATAGGGGCCTTATGCTTGAATAAGGAGAAAATACAGCATTGGGAGAATGTTTGGGATTAGGATTAGGGTCTAGGGTGTTCATCAATAATAAGCCTGTAGGGCTTCCCCGGTATCACAGTGGTTAAGAATCCGCCTGCCATTGCAGGGGACATGGATTCAAGCCCTGGTCCAGGAAGATCCCACATGCCACGGAGCAACTAAGCTTGTGCACCACAACTACTGAGCCTGCGCTCTGGAGCCCGTGAGCCACAACTACTGAGCCCATGTGCTTCAACTACTGAAGCCCTCACCCCTAGAGCCCATGCTCTGCAACAAGAGAAGACACTGCAATGAGAAGCCTGCGCACCAAAATGAAGAGTAGCCCCCGCTCGCTGCAAGTGGAGGAAGCCCGCGCACAGAAACGAAGACCAAATGCAGCCAAAAATAAATAAATAAAAATTAAAAAAATTATTAAAAAATATAAGCCTGTATTTTCTCTGACAGAAAGTTAAATGTGGCTTTTGCTGAGAGGTAAATAGTGTGTGCTGTGGCCTCACTTGAAAGGATGTGGGAGGTCAATGTCTGGAGGAGGTCCTAGGACTGAGGAAGGGGACCCAGGATGAGTCAACCAAAGAGAGACCTTGTAGGAGATAGAAAAACACTAGAAGCAGCCACTCTCCTAGTTTTTGCAGGAGGGAGTATAGAATTATACACACTTGGTGTCAAGGGCAGAATGACCTTCAGTCAGTGGCACCCAGTAGGAGCTGAACTAGGGTCAAGCTGTAGGAAGCAACAGAAGAGTGAGAGAAAGAAAAGAGAATGGCAATAAAGAACAAAAAAGGAAGAATGATGATGGTGAATATTAGTGTGGAAGATGCCTAGTGCCATTTCAGCTCTATCCACTATGAAAAACACAGGGGCACTTAAAGGAGGGGGAGAGAAAGGAAACAGTTCCTAGAGGCATCAGTACAAGACATGAGGGGATACTGACAGTGGGTTGCTTTCTCTGACATTTGTAGTACAGAGGAGATAAGCAGCTGCCTACAGGAGATTACTGTGGTGGGAAACCCCACTGTAAATGTGTCCTGCACACCCAATACAAAAAAGGCTTTGTAAGTTACAGATGAGTGAAAGGATATGATGTGCCTACGAGGAAATACTAAGAATGAGAGCAATGCAAACTGGAATGCGTTTTGAATTTTTCAGGAAATCCTTCACTCTTTTATCCGCTTACCCACAGTACAGCACCTCCTTTGAGATCCAATAATCTAGAGCGATCTCACTTTGCAGAGGAGCTTACCAAGGTTAAGGTAGGAGGATGGCTTTTCTAAAAGCCATATGGTGAGTCAGATTCAGAAGTGGGGTCTAAATCCAGGTATCATATCTTATTCAGTGTCTTTTTTCCTATCTTAACCCACTAACATTTTGGGAATTGAAGGAACAGCTTTATTTGTGAGTTGCTAGGAATTTTAGTAGAGCTTTCAAATGCTCCATTCTTTTTACTGAGATCCTTGAAGCAAATGGTTGAAAAACTAAACTAGAAAACTAAAGATTAATAGTTCGGTTTAAATGATCTCATAAGATATTTACTGGTCCTATTCACATTTCCCCCATCTATGTGAAACCCTAATGTCCAAAACCTTACAAAAATGTGAAGTAACACTACCTTCAAAATTTAATGGATATATATGCATTTTATCCAACTAATATATGCTTACAATTAAAAGATGAAATAGTTTTAAAGAAAATAGCTTTAAAGACGAAGAGTTTTAAAGAAAAGCAAGTCTCTTGCCTCACCATTCTACCCGCAGTCCCACTCCACACAGGCAATCACTTTGAAATTTTCCAATTATTTATGTTTTTATCGAGGTAGCCTCCATTTCTCTAAAAGTCTTACGTTGCTATTTCTTATTTTGTCAATTTTAGACATTATCTATAGACCTCCTTTAAAATATTTTTTTTATTATTTATTTATTTTTTTAAACATCTTTATCGGAGTATAATACTTCACAATGGTGTGTTAGTTTCTGCTTTATAACAAAGTGAATCAGTTATACATATATATATATATATATCCCCATATCTCTTCCCTCTTGCATCTCCCTCCCTCCCACCCTCCCTATCCCACCCCTCTAGGTGGTCACAAAGCACCGAGCTGATCTCCCCGTGCTATGCGGCTGTTTACCATTAGCTATCTCTTTCACATTTGGTAGAGTATATA